GTGTCGTGGTTATGCGATGAGGAAAGGTCTGAGTTTGGGTCGGACTCAGTTTGAAGAGATAGTGCGAGAGATTGATGGAGGATTGGATCACCTGCAGTGGAGAGGAAACATCATTCCCAGACCTCACTTCACTGACACTGTGAGCCTCTCTGCCATTGCCCATATCTCATTATTTTAAAACATCATAAGCTGTTTATTTGTTACTCGTAGAAAGTATGCTTTAAAGTTCCATTATCACTTTAAACATTTTTTTTAGATAATGTCTTGATGCTGCATAATGATAGATGTGTATAATGTAATCTACAGGAAAGCCTATTGCTGCAGTATGAACGTTCCAGGTTTCAATCCCATGACCTTCTGGATGATTCCGAGATGGAACGGAAGACAGAGAATGAGGGCAGTGAGAAATCTCTCCCACAGTCTGAAATCCAGGTACCGGAGAAAGACGAAGCTACTGAAACAGCTAGCAGAGACACTTCCACATCTGTGGATGGTATTGTGGACAAGAGAGGAGAGAATGTGGTCATACAAAACCTGATGGATGATTCTACTGCACTTTGCAGTATCGTGAATTCAGATGTCAGCCTCAGCAACTTATTGCAGACAGGTGCTTTGAGAAGAGATTTTGACACAAAAAGGATACAGAAGTTTTTTAAAAACAGACGGGACTTGTTTGAGACACTTATGTGGTTTTGTTTTGTTTTGTTTTGGCAGGACCAAATTTGCATTCAGTTTTTGAAGAGACGGTACATACTCCTGACTCTCTGAAGCAGCAGCGGAGCACTTTAGCCATGGAGTTGCTGTGGATCCAACAAGCCATCAGTAGCAGAAAGAAAGTGAGAAAACTTTAGAATTTTTAGCATTAATGTTTATATGTATGTATCTATGTCTCTCTGTGTGTTTTAGTCTATAAACATATTCTGCTCTGCTTCTTTTGTAGTATCTTACCCTCAAACAGAGAATGGATGTGCCACACTGATACTGGAGCAGTTCTGAAGCTGTATTATTATTATTATTATTATTAT